TGCTACTGACCCAACTTATGATGTGTTTATTAGTTTCAGATGGAGAGATGTGGGAAGCACATTTTGCAGCCATCTTTACGGTGCTTTGCGTAGGAAAACTATCAGAATATTCGCAGCTGGCGAGGAACAAGAGAAAGAAGAGGTGATTTCCCCATCGATCTTGACAGCAATCAGATCATCTAAGATTGTGGTGATCATATTTTCAGAACAGTACGCCTTCTCAAACCGATGTTTGGATGAACTCGTAGAGATTTTCGAGTGTAAGAAAAGGATGGAAGAACAGACTGTGATGCCAGTTTTTTATCGTGTAGATCCTTCTGATGTTCGTAAGCAAACTGGGAATTTTATGGCTGCTTTTTCTCACCATGAAGGAAATTTCAAAGACAAGGTAGCTAGCTGGAGATGTGCTTTGTCACAAGCAGGAAATCTATCTGGGTGGGATTCATCAAGAATTAGGTAGCTCCCTCCCTCTCTCTCTTCTCTCTCTCTATATATATGGGTACATATAATTCTAGATTCATGTACTACGAGTTTAGTAAGCTGAGAATTTTATTTGAGAATAATAAAAAGCGAAGGTTATTCAATTATTAGAACTATCGAAAAGAACATGGTGATGTTATTGATCTGCTTGTTCTTAAGCCATTTATTAGTTTCATTTTACATATTCAGTGTTGAAATATAAATGAAGACCTCATGGACTTTTATTTCTCTGCTCTGCAGGCCAGATTCCATACTTGTTGAGAAAATTGTCCAAGACATTTTGGAGAGATTGAAACTTGCATCTTATAGTGTTTCGAGGAGATCATTGGTTGGAATAGATTCGAGAGTTGAGAAGGTTGTGCGTTTGTTAAGTATTGGTCAGATGTCTGAATTTCACATGGTAGGAATCTGGGGCATGGGAGGTATTGGTAAGACTACCATTGCCAATGAAATTTACACCCAAATTTGTAGTCATTTCGAAGGTTGTTGTTTCCTTAATAATGTCCGGGAGTCAGCACTTAAGGGTGATCTAGTTCATCTAAGGAAGAAACTCTTTTCGAAACTGTTAAATGAGGAAGTTTCTGATGAAGGTACACCTACTATAGGATCTCCTTTTATTCAACATAGGCTACAAAACAAAAGGGTTCTTGTTGTGCTAGATGATGTGAATGATCCACAACACTTAGACTTTTTGTTTGGAGGACTTGATCATCTTGGTGGACCAGGAAGTCGAGTAATTATAACAACTAGAGATAGACAAGTTCTTAATTCTTGCAACATTCAGGCGGTTTATGAGGTACCGAAATTAGATAATGATGAATCTTTTAAGCTGTTTTGTCGACATGCATTTCAGCACCACCTCTTAAAAGATCTCGTTGGGCTATCCAACAAGGTGATTCAATATGCACAAGGTGTTCCGTTAGCTCTGGTGGTCTTGGGCTCATCTTTACGTGGCCAGGACAAAAAATACTGGGAAGGTACATTGAAGAAGCTTAAAAATGTGCCAAATCCGAAAATCCTGGATGTCCTGAAAGTCAGTTATGAGGGATTGGATTGTGAAGCTAAGGAAATATTTCTTGATATTGCATTTTTTTTCAAAGGGGATAAGAGGGATGTTATAACAAGAGTGCTGGATGATGAGTATTTCTCCATAGATTCTGGGATAACTGTTCTTCTTGACAGGTCTTTAATTACTTTAGAGTTTGAAAATATAACTATGCATGATTCATTGCAAGAAATGGGATGGGATGTTGCTCGCCAAGAATCTAAGAATCCAAAGAAAAGGAGGAGGCTTTGCTATCCGGAGGATGTGCGTAACCTCTTGGCAAGAAATGAAGTAAGCACCAAACCTGATTAACTAATTTGTTTACACAATGCAGTGCTTGGAAGAAGCAGAATAAAGTTTATGCTAACGAGTTCTTGCTTTTGATTATTACCAGGGAAGTGAAACAATCAGAGGAATATCTCTCGAGTCATCAGAAATGAAAGAGTTGAGCTTAGCACCTGATGCATTCGCAAAGATGTGTAATCTTAAATTTCTAAGAATCAGATGTCACACACTAAAACTACCTTCTGACCTTCAATCCCTTTCTGACGAGCTGAGATACATTTCTTGGGTTGGATACTCATTGAAGTCCTTGCCTGCTAAATTTTGCGTGGAGAAACTTGTCAAACTTTACATGTTAGAGAGCAGCGTCGAACAACTATGGAGTGGAACCCCTGTATGATTTATAATACTAACAATGACTTTAGCTTTTGGTAGTTCAATTAAAGCGGTTAATTATGTGTTTTCCATGTAAGCAATTTTAACTCGTTCGCTAACTGCTGCAGAATCTTGCTAGCTTACAAGCTCTGGATCTTGCTTATTCTAAGAACTTAAAGGAAATCCCAGATCTTTCTCAAGCCAAAAATCTGGAAATTATGAGATTTTCAGAATGTGAAAACCTGATTGAGGTCCCCTCATCCATTAAACATCTCAAGAAACTTGTTGATTTGGATTTGAGTGGTTGCGTAAATCTTAAGAAGCTCCCAGACAGCATTTGCATGTTGGAATCCCTCGAAGTGCTTCTACTTGATGATTGCCCAAAACTTGAGACTTTTCCAGATATCACGGAGACTATGAAACATTTAGAGATGCTTGGTTTAGAAAAGACAGGTATAGAAGTATTACCTCCCTCAATTGAACTTCTTGAAGGGCTTGAATATTTGGGATGGACAGGAGGTGGTGATGAACAAAGTTTAGATTTACAGGTATCACAAATTCCTCAAGGCATTGGTTGTTTATACTTATTAGAGCATTTGGACCTTAGTGGAAAGAATATCGAAACAATACCTGCAAGCCTCAAACAACTATCTAGGCTTAAACTGCTTAACTTGAACAATTGCACAAAGCTTCAATTCTTACCTGATCTTCCAACCCAACTGGAAAAACTATATGCTTATAACTGCACTTCACTGAGAGTATCAAGTGACCAGCCTTTCTTCATTGCTGTACTCTTCGGGTACTACGTGTTCATTGATTGCTTCGAATTAGATGCAGAACTGATAATTCAGCATGTGGGAGAAGAATATAAGAAGATATTTCAGCAACAAGATAAGCAGGTCTTTATTTATTTATTTTTCTCTCTTTGTTAGCTCTTCTCTGTCGCTGACTAATTGCTAAAAAATGATTTTTCTGGTGCAGGATCTTCGAGGAAAATTTTGTATTTCTTTACCTGGAAATGAAGTGCCAGAGTGGTTCCATCATCAAAGTAGAGGATCTTCAGTCATTATTCAGCCCAGTGGTAGCAACCTCTTCAGCCTTGTTATTTGCTTTGTGATTGAATCTGATTTCGAATTTGATAAAGTTATGGACGAATTTGATATAGTTTATGCGGATGGCGAACCAATTATTTCTTGTTGGCACTACAGATCTTGTGTATCAGAATATACGACCTTATTATATCTTCGAGAAACAGATTATTGTATTGATGATGAGATGGTATTTGAAGTCAGCATTCGTCCCGGCGATGGTAATATTCTGACTGTGAAAAGCTGTGGGGTTCATGTGCTGGAAGGAAATCCCAGTATCAGTTTTAATCAGGAAGAAGTACCAGCAGCTAAAAGGTTGAAAAGAAGTACCAGCAGCTAAAAGGTTGAAAAGAACAATCCCATTGATGACAGGGTAAAAAGTAGCCTTTGTTCCTTACCAGTTATATACATGTTTCCCTTAAGGGAATATGTATATTTTTCTTTTTATATGGGTGTGAGCTGAGTTGTGCATCCTGTATGTTTTTGTTAAGAAGTTGTGTTATTATGTTCTTATATGTTTAGTATATAAATACAAATCTAATTAATGAAATGTATTACTTTTTACTAAAAAAATAATCTTAAACTTTTATGTTGCCATTTATGTTATTCATCTATTTCGAGTTGAGTGGGAATTCGTATTAGAATTAAGCCGTATCAATTAAGATTTGGGTGATTATGCTAATTCAGTTCTTAACTTGAAGTAGTATGTTAATCATAGAGAGAGAGAGAAGCTTGTTTGGTTGCTGGGAAAATGAAAGAAACATTAAGAAAGTTGTTGTTTGGGTAAGTTGGGAGATCTCTTGTTTCTCTCCAGCTGCTTGTATTATCATTTGTTTCCCTCCATTTGATAAATTCTGCATCAAAGTTGGAATTTAAAATATTTTTGCTGAGAAAACTAGAAGAAACTGCAAACAAAGTTGCCAGTTGACACAAATGTTTCCTCTTTCCTCTAGCCATGTCTCTGCAATCGTCCGCCGCAAACCCAAATTCTGATCCATCTTCGGTTTTCGACTTCAATGCAGTATGTACCAGTTGTGCGTCAAACCTCCAACATCGCACGACCCAGAGCATGGTCAACTATCTAGAAAAGAGCCATAACTCCGCTTGAAAGGGGGAACGACAGCCAAAAATGCTTCCTGAGAGAACAGAGATCACAGACATTTAGTTATAGAAAAATATATTACATTATTTTCTACAAAAAAGTTACTGTTTTTTTTTTTTTTTATATCAACAGAATACTTTAAACATACCAAATTTAAAATAAATAATTAATTACATAAATTTTAATTGATTTAATTGCATAATTTAGCTGTGAATTTTAATTTTTACCTTAAAAATTTACTGTTCCACTAACACTGAAAACAACTGTCATTTTAATTTATTCAAAATCAAAGATTACATTCATCACCCATTGGAAGATTGAATTCATTGCATTTAATAATGAAAAGCATTTCCTTTAAGGAAAAAGGAAAATTAAGAAAACGACATCTATAATTGTCGTTTTGGGTTTATTGGAAAATGAAATACTAAATTTATTACTGTAAAAAAAAAAAAATTGAATTATTTGCATTTAATAATGATAAACAGCAGCATTATTGTAAAAATTAAGAATAAAAGCTCCCTTGCTAAAAAAGAAATATAATAAATTTAAATATTATTTAATAACACATTTATTTTAAAAGATAGAGATTAAGGTTAATTAGTTTCTATTTAATTAAAAATATATATATATTTTTTTAAAAATTATTATCTATATATATTATATATATTAACAGATAGTTCACATGTTACTTTATTTATTTATTTATTATTATCTATTAAATTTACATAATAATAATAATAATATATACATATGTAATAATTACGGAAAATCTATATTATTTATAATTATCTACATAAAATTTTAAATATAAAAATAATTAAAATGTTAGATTTATTATTTATTTATATTTTAAAATAGAAAAAAATAAAATTAATATGATAATATATAATAATTTACTTAGATTTTTAAATATAAAATAGAATTTTATTTTTTATTGATTGTAAATATATATTACATAATAATTATTAAGTACAAAATAAGTTTAACAATATATAAAATATGTGCTTGAGAATATATCTTAACTATTGATATGTTAAAAAGAAGAGGTAATATGTTGATAAACATATGCTACCTTTGTAAAGCTAAAGAGGAATTTTGTAATCACATTATACTCTTGAGTGCTCGATTGTCTGTAATATTCGGATTACAGTAGATGAGTTGATATGTTTGAATCGAAGTATTAGAATCATAAATTTTGAATTGTTCACAAAAAATAAAATATGAAAAATTTTTAAGGTATTGAAAATAATTTTATAAAAATTTAAAATAAATTAATTAATTATTTTATTTTATTTTATTAAATCATGACACGAGATATTTAGAAGAGATTGGAAAGATCATTAACTACTTGATAGATATATAATTATTTTGTATACGAGAAAGGTATTATCTTTGTACTTTATTTATAATAATATTTTTTTTATTTAAAAAAATAATATATAAAATAATTAATTATTTAAAATCTTAAATATAAAAGTAAATTTTATTTTTAATTAATTGTTTATTACGTAATATATAATTAATTTTTAGAATTATAAAGTTGCGTAACACGGACAAGAATCTAGCTGTTGAAAGAATGAAACAGAGGAGAAAAATTCACAAAGACCTTTTACAGAGAAAACTCAGAAGAGTCTCTTGTTATCTTCCGAAGCTTTCCGAGCTCAATGGCTACTTGTTCTTCTTCGTGGTTTTCTCCTGAGATTACTTACGATGTGTTTGTTAGTTTTAGATGGAAGGACGTCGGCAACACATTTTGCAGTCATCTCTGCGCTGCTTTGGACAGGAGGAAGATCAAAACATTCACAGCTAGTGAAGAACAAGAGAAAGAAGATGAAATTTCTTTATCAATTTCGAGAGCAATCCAAGCATCGAAGATTGCGCTGATCATATTTTCAGAAAACTATCCCTTCTCAAAGAGGTGCTTGGACGAACTCGCAGAGATTTTCGAGTGCAAGAAAAGGACGGGAGTACCAATTGTGATGCCAGTTTTCTATTATGTAGACCCTTCCGATGTTCGCAAACAATCTGGAGAATTTTCGACTGCGTTTGCTCATCATGAACATAATTACTTGAAGGGCAAGGTGGAAACATGGAGACTTGCTTTAACACGAGCAGGGAATCTATCTGGCTGGGATTCATTAAGAATTAGGTAATTCTACATAAATATTTTCTAGGATTTCTATGCATTTGAGAGGTTAATAGGCTGAAGTTTTCATTAATCTTTACACAAAACATAATATAGAGAGAAAAAAAACATAAAATGATGATGTTATCGATCTAATTGTTCTTAAGCCATTTATTGATTTCATTTCACATTTGAAGCGGAAAATGAATGAAATTCAAGTATTTATCTACAAAACCCTTGGTAAGTTCGGTGATCTTTATTCTCATGGCCTTCTATTTCTGTGCTCTGTAGGCCAGACTCCATACTCGTTGAGGTAATTGTCGGAGACATTTTTGAGAGATTGAAACTTGGATCATCTAGTGTTTTTGAGAAATCATTAGTTGGAATACATTCTAGAGTCGAGAAAGTTATGTCTCTGTTAAAAATGGGTGATATGCAAGATTTTGGCATGGTGGGAATCTGGGGCATGGGAGGCATTGGTAAGACTACTGTTGCTAATGCCATTTACAACCAAATTTCAAGTCATTTTGAAGGTCGTTGTTTCCTTAATAATGTCAGGGAGTCAGCAATGAAAGGTGATCTAGTTCATCTAAGGAAGAAGCTCTTTTCTAAACTATTAAATGAGCAAGTTTCTACTGAAGGCACGCCTACTATAGGATCTCCTTTCATTCGACATAGACTACAAAACAAAAGGGTGCTTGTTGTTCTGGATGATGTGAATGATCCACAACAAATAAACTTTTTATTTGGAGGGATTGATCATCTTGGCGGACCAGGCAGTCGAGTAATTATAACAACTAGAGATAAACAAGTTCTAAATTATCTTGACGTTGAGGCAATTTATAAGGTAGAGAGATTAGATTTTGATGAAGCTTTAAATCTTTTTGGTCAATATGCATTTAAAGAACCCCCTTCAGAAGATTATATAAAGTTGTCCAGGATGATTGTTCGTTATGCCAAAGGCGTGCCATTAGCTCTAAAAGTCTTGGGTTCCTCATTACGTTCCCAGAATAAGAAATACTGGGAAGGTATGCTAAAAAAGCTTAATAATATTCCAAATCCAAGACTTTTAGATGTCCTGAAAATTAGTTATGAGGGACTGGATTGTGAAGTGAAGGAAATATTTCTTGATATTGCATTTTTTCTTAAAGGGGAGTACATTGATGTTATAACAAGACTGTTAGATGATGAGTACTTCTCTTTAGATTATGGGATAGATGTTCTTGTTGATAGATCTCTCATTAGTATTACAAACTCTAGGAGGATAAAGATGCATGATTCATTACAAGAATTGGGATGGGATGTTGGTCTACATGAATCTAAGAATCCAAAGAAAAGAAAGAGGCTCTGCTACCCAGAGGATGTACTTGATCTCTTGACAGGAAATGAAGTAAGAGTCATTGCAAGAAATTATTAAACCTTTTTAAAATGAAATATGATGAAGTATATGTATTTTATTCTGACGAATTCTAATTTGTTGATTATTAGGGAAGTGAAACAATCAGAGGCATATCCCTTGAGTCATTAGGAATGAAGAAGTTGAGCTTAAATCCGGATGCATTTGCAAAGATGCCTAATATGAAGTTTCTAAAAATCAATGGATATACATTGAAAATACCATATGGCCTTCAATCTCTTCCGGATGAGCTAGGATATCTTTCTTGGAGTGGATTCTCACTGAAGTCATTGCCATCTACATTTTGCGCAGAGAGACTTGTTAAACTTGAGATGCCTGATAGCACTGTCCAGCAATTGTGGAATGGAACACAGGTATAATTTAGTCTGTATTATATAATAGTAGTCGTCCAGTGCACATTGAATTGGTTTTTATTGTTTAGTTTGAGAAAATTTTTTATCTATTTTTATGATGGAGATACTTTTAGTAACGACATATTAGTCAAACTAATAGTGTTGATTCTCATGAATTGTAGAGGAATTTATATTCTCCTTATCATAATTTTAATATTTTCACTTTAATATTTTAAATATACACATTATAAGATATCTTATTTTCATTTAAGTTAATAACTAAAAATAAAAACAAAAAGGGAAAAACAACAATTTGTTTATAGACTATAGTGTGTAAGAGAAAATTGAAAGTCATACTCTCTTTTTGGATATGTTCCATTGTTGTGGGTTTTGCTCTTTAGATGGTAGTTGATCTGGTGCATGGTTATGAAGTGTTTTATTAGGATTTGAAGGATATTATACATTTAAGTTTAGGGGTTTAGAGGTGTAATAGAGGAAAAAGAAACCAGAGTGTGTATATGATGGTTTTTAGGTTTGTGGAAAATTTAGTTGAGTTCATTTAAATTGGATTTGTTACTAAAAATAATAAATTTAAGTTCCGAACCAACTTTGGATAAAAAAAGATTAGCTTTTAGCTTTATTGAGTTCTTTTTTTTGTTAATATTTGTTTCATTGAGTTAGGATAATAGATAAAGATAATAAATTTGAGCATACATAATCAGTATGATTCATTTTTGTAACAATGGTTGCTCTTTCTGATTCATATATTGCACTATATTTATCTGGGTCATTTTCTCTAATACAAGTATTTGAGTTGTGATATTTTTAACTGGTTGGCTAAATGTTGCATTGCAGAATCTAGTTAGCTTACAGCATATAGACCTTCGTTATTCCAAGAACTTGAAAGAAATTCCAGATCTTTCCTGCGCCATGAATCTGGAAACTATGTATCTTGACCACTGTGAAACCTTGGTTGAAATTCCATCATTCATCAAGCATCTCCACAAGCTTAGTGTTTTGGATTTGAGTGAGTGCAAAAAACTCAGTAAACTTCCAAACAGTATTTGCAATTTGAAATCTCTTGAATCTCTCAATCTCAGTGGCTGCTCACAACTTGAGACATTTCCAGATATTTTTGAGAAAATGGAGAATTTAGAGCTTCTTGATTTAAATGGAACTGGCATAACACAACTGCCTTCTTCAATTGAATTTCTTGTTGGACTTCTTGAATTGAGACTGGATAATTGTATAAACCTCTCCAAGTTACCAGATAACTTATGGAGATTAACAAGTCTCGACTGCCTGGAAATTTCAAACCCAAATCCTGTGACTCTATCATTGCCTAAGTTTCCTTCATTAGTAGATTTCTGCTATTTGCAATACTTAAGACTCAATGATTTACACATAGTGGAAATTCCAGAAGACCTTGGTTGTTTATTTTCATTGGAGAGATTGGAACTATGTGGAAACGATTTTGAGACAATACCTGCAAGTATCAAACACTTGACCAACATGAAAGAGCTTTTCTTTGGTCATTGCAAGAGGCTTCAATCATTACCTGAGCTCCCAGCCGAAATAGAAAGGCTTTCTGTAGATCACTGCACTTCATTGAAAATATTAAATGGTAACCCTTTCTTTAATGCCAGACTTTCTGGGAGATATACATTCGTTGATTGCTTCGAATTGGATCAACAAGTAATAATTCAACATGTGGGTAAAAAATATGACAAGATTCTTCAGCAACAAGATAACAAGGTTTGTTTACTTCGTTTTCTCATCTTTGTTTCTAACAATGTTAAATATGATTATTGCAATGAATGAATTCTATTTTATGTTACTTACAGGATCTTGAGGGAAAGTTCTGTATTTGTTTAACCGGGAGTGAAGTGCCTAAGGGATTCCAGTATCAAAGTAGAGAATGCTCTTCAATCATAATTGATCCAGGAAGTAGTAAGTTGTTGAGCATTGTTCTTTGCTTTGTTATTGCATCCGATTGCAGTGGCAATCCCAATGATTTCGATTTCTTCAATATAGTATATTCGAAAACCAAACCTCTTGTTTCTTGCGTACAATACAAATCATCCTTAGGATCAGACCACATCCTCCTGTTATATCTTAAAGAAACCTATGATTCTATACGAAAAAAACTCGCCAAAAATATCTCGTCCAATGAAGAGATGATCATTGAATTCAGCATAGATCCTCGCCACTCTACTGTCATGAATGTGAAGAGTTGTGGGGTTAATGTGCTGGAAGGAAACACGAGGGTAAGTTTCGGGTTCAATTGGGAAGAAGAATTACAAGCTGAAACAACCATGTGAAAAAAGTAACTTTGGTTCTTCAACCATGCTTCTTCTTGGATGATATAGTGAACAAGTTTGTTCTGTAACATACGAGTTTCTATACCTGATACATGCATAAAAATCTTTTTTTTTTTTTTTTAACTCAAAATCATATAGTTATAAAGATAAATAAAAGTATTAATTATTTAATTAAATAATAATTATAATGAGAATCATGTTATTAACAACACGATGTTGTTGGTAAAAGTGACGAAGATAAGTAAAAAAATCTATTTGTTATTAAAATTTACAAAGAACTAATTATTTGTATATGCATAATTTTTGCTATTAAGTCTCATTATGTCATTTGAAAATATCCCTACTTTATAATTCATGTATATCAGAAATTATACACACACACACACACTTAAATCGGTGTAATAGTTAATAATAATGTTATATTAATGGATGAAACCACCAGGTAACTTCAAAATATCGTATATTATATATATATATATATATATACACTTCGATTAAATATATTAATGGATTAAACAAAATATTGTTCATTAAAAATATCAAGCAGTATAATTTTTTTCTAAATATTTAAAATACAAATGTGCTAAATAAGTCAAATTCATCAATAAAAACAATGATAGCATACTTAAACTTTCTAAATATTAAATTTTTTCCACCCAAAATATTAATTTTTTTTAATTTTATAATTAATTTATGTTTAACTTTAAAACATGTTTTTCGCAAGGTAAAATTAAAACTCAGGATACAATACAGTTCCCCAATACCATATATTATTTCCCGCTTGCAAACGACGCCGTGTTTGGAGTCTCGTGAAATCTTCCCAGAGAAGCTTTTTGAAAATAATGTCAACAAACCGCCAAATTCGTTCTTCAACAAAAGCAAAATCCTTTTGAGATCTCCCACAGAGAGAGAGAGAGAGAGAGAGAGAGAGAGAGAGAGAGAAGCTTCAGTCAAGGTATTTTCGTTTCTCCTTCAAACATACAATCGGAATTTTCTTTCTTTATCCTTTATTCTATTTGCTTTCCTTGCTAATTTCTCTTTCTGCCGTTTGTTTCTCGAGAAAATGCAACTACCTCTCTGCTCGCCCGCGCCATTCTAAATTTTCATCATTCGTTCGTGAAAACCAAACTGTTCTGTTCGAGAAATTAGACTATGTTTCTTCTTCATTTATGTATTGTATGTGTGTATTACTGTTTCTTCTCCTTTCTAATTGTTTCAGTATTTAATCTCCTAATGGTTTATCTACTGTGTAATTCGTGGCGTCATCAGTATTATTTTCTGGGATTCCCACTCCGTGAATTCGATTTTTCAATGTGGTATTATATTTCTGAAGCGCGGTGATTGGTTGTGTGATTGTTTCATCTTCTTCGTTCTTGAGATGAGCATTGTTTTTTTTCATAAGGAGATAATGTAGAAGGAAGGGGGAAAAGGAAATATGAGTTTAAAGATGAATTTTGTGCATGCAGGTCAGTTCAGATTTTATAGGCTGTTTATTTGTTGGAACTGATTCTTGTTAATTAATGTAGGTGATGAAAATTTCTCTTAAGAAACCATCACCTGATAGAGTTTAGTTCATTTTCGTTGTCCATTACATTTTACCCCTAGAAAATTTGGAGGTAAGTGAGGAAAAGAAAAAAGGAAACTTTATGATTCTTTTGGGTTGAATAGTAATAGGTGGCCTAAGTGTAAATTTTTAGAATAATTTCACTTGGTGAATCTTGTTTTATTTAATGATGAGTATTTATACAAGAGAGAAAATCCAAGATGAGGTGGAACTCTATGTGAGTTATGGTAGCCATTTGTTTCTCGGTATTACCACGGACAAAGCTTTTCATGCTTGACAAACAAAAGTTGTGCCTTGCTGTTCAAGTGACTTGCTGAACTGAAGGCTATCAATCTGTTTCAGCTTTATGTTGTTTGCTGATCACAAACTTACCCTGTTCCTTTCTTTCTCTCTAGAGATGGAAGGCCTTCTTCAGAACATTCCCAAGGAAGGGTGTAGTATTGACAGTGTTGAAGCAAAGTATGTCTCTGGTCTTAGTACAGTACTTGTTGCAACTATCCAGGAAGCAAAGGATAGAATTTCTCAAATAGAGTACATTTTCTGTAGTCAGCTCTTCCCCAACTTCCAATCAAAATATAAGGGACTACAGAAAATTTACTCCGAGGCCCAGAAAGCTGCAGAAGAAGCATGGAAAGAGAAGGGAAACAATATGTTACGCCAAATAGAAAAGCTTCAACTGGAAAATCAACAGATCCTTAATGAGAACCAGTCTTTAAAGCTGGAGAAGAGAAAGCAACTGGAGGAGCATGAAGGAAATACAAAAGACCTAGTAGTCAAACTAAGAAGCCAAGAGATGAAAATAGATGAACTGCAATGCGAGCTCAAGAAAAAATCTAAAGAAGTTGATGACGGAATGGAGTTGCAGAATAGACTGCTTCAGATGGTTAGAGAAAAAGCATCTGAGTTAGTATGTAAGAGCAAACAAGCAAAAGAATATGAAGAGAAAACAGGTGCACTTATTGGGAAAGTGAAAAGCCTGGAAGAGAAAATTGGTGAGCTTCAAGATGAGCTTAGAGAAAAGACAGAAAAAGCAAGTGAGGGAGAACAAACAATAGAAAATCTACTGAAAAAGATTGAATTTCTAACATTAGAGATTGCAAATGGTGAACAGCTGCTAAATGATCAGGAGAAAGAGAAGAAAAGACTGACGACCAAGTTGGAATGTTTGGAGGAGGATGTCAGCAGACTCCAAGAAAAGCTGAAGGAAAAGATAAAAGCAATTGAGGGTGGAAAAAAGGTGCAGGAAGAGTTTCTCTTAAAAATTGATTCGACTGCATCTGGAATGTTAGAGAACAAACAGTGGCTGGAGGAGGATGACAAACAAAGGAATCTGCTTCTGTCTAAAGTAAAATGTTTGGAAGAGAAAGTTAAGGAGCTGAATGAACAGATTGAATTAAAAAACTCTGAATTACAGAGTGAGACAGAGAAAAAATTAAAGCATATCAATGCATATAAGAGGTTGAAATCACAATACATCTTCCTCCTTGAAAAGTCTGATCTTACAACTGACAATATGCTTCCACAAAGCAAATTAGAGAATGGAAGTGATCCTTCAAAGCGGCACCAAAGTTTAGTTATTTCACCTGGTATGTTTTTTGCACCTTGCAAATTTTAAAATTTTCAAGTTACATCAATGCTTTAGCTTTTTGAACCTGACTAATGATATAATTTTGCTTTTTAATTCAGCTGTTAATGATTTTTTTTAGGTTCTTCTTTGGTTATGATGTTGCTTTCTCGTCTGTGTAATTTGTCGATGCAAACACGTAGCTAAAGAGATATTATAGGGAAAGTGGCTCCACTGCCATAGTTGATTCTTACCCCTGTTTTTCTCTTTGTGTTATAGTCTTTGGAAACAAGAATCAAGATGCCCCCGTGTCCTTTTGTGGTTCCAAAAAAGTGACTAATAACTCCACCTTCAAGGACAACCGAGTGGAAGAGAAAATTATCAAAACAGTTCCGACATCTGGCATTTGCTCTTCTACTTCCAAGTCTTCAGAGGCACCAAAAAGTCTGTCTAATGGAAAATCTTCTCCAGCAGCTGGTAGAAAGCGGCTTGCTTCTTCTTGGAGAGAGACAAGGCATCGTCAGTTGCCAGGTGGTGCAGATCCTCATGATGATTTTCTTGATACCCCCTTTGAGAACATTAAGGAAAACCTAAAAAAAGCCATGAAAGAAGATACTAAAGATCTGGGAGATACAGTTCCTAAAGATACCAAGCCTGATAGTTCTGATGATGAAACACAAGACATGAATGTTGATCACAGCCCACAGCAACATGCAATTCAAGCTGCAGGTGCCAGAAAAAGAAATTTCAAGTATGTAGAACCAGTAAGAAAGAAAGCTGAACGGGAAATTTTGAAAGGGATTGACTGCAAGCAGTGCAAGAAATTCTATGATGCTGTTCTTCCAAACAATGCAAGTAAGGACAATGATGGTAATAAACAAAATATCCGCTGTGAGCATCACGATGGTGTTTCTAGGCATCGATATAAATATATTCCTCCTATGACTCCTGAAGGATTTTGGAATATTGGATTTGAATCTGAAATATGATTTTCTTAGTGTGAAAATATTATCCAGATTTGAATATCTGTTCACTTTTGGAAATGATAAATAATAGAAAGTAATAACCTTTGCACTAAAAGTAATCGATTAAAATGAAGTGTATCCAGTTATTTCCTGTATCGGTACACAATTGTATGATTTATCTTTGACGGTCAGCCTGTGAACCCACATTACTTTGGAATGTGTTACAGGACAGTGAAAGTTCTTAGATCTTTCCGATTTTTTTTTTTTGGATATTGGTTCTTTGGGAAGTTGAGAACATGTGTAGCATTCCAGGGCTTTCTTTATTCTTTTCTAGCCTAGGACCTTACTGAACTTGCCAGGAGCCTCCTTGGTCAATATTGTAGTACTTGACTTGGAAAAGAATGAATGTATATAAATTTTCAGTTGATCAAGATAAGTACTGGTAGGCTTTAAATTGTCATTCCATTACCACCTGTGCATGTCATCATTTCTTCAGATGTATCAGTGCATGGCAGTCTCTAGTCATCTTGAAACTGTTAGCTCCTATTCCATTTATCTCCTTTTTGGTCATCAAATCATGTTCTGGAGATCTATCCGGGTACTTGTTGCAGTCTGGACAAAATCCTACTGAATGGGTTTGTTTTATCGTGCTCTACTCACTTTTGAATAGTACCTCTTAGGTTGTTTGATTGAACTGAAAATTACGTTTCAGTTTGGAGTAGATTCCAATTCATTGCTTGTTTAGAATGTGAACTTCAAACCTGCATATCTGTCCAATTTAGGAGTCTAGAGTTGCTTGAACAATCAGCAGGCCATCATAGACTTCTCTTTGACTCAAAAAGCAAGTATCCAATGACCATAGGCTATTTGGTCGCGTACCAATTGAAACATAATCTTATTTGTTCTCTCTGAGACAATTCGTGCTGGTTTTGCCTAGTGTTTTTCGTTTCATTATTTGGATATCTAACTGAGAAATTGATATCTAT